CTCTGAACCTGATGGGAGGGGCCTGGGCATGATGGGCGAGCTCTGGGCTGTGGGCAGGGCCTGTAGTGTAACCTTTCTGTGTCTGTGTGCTTGGACCGAGGCTGGAGGGACCCACTCCAGGGATCAACCACTTCTGCTCCCAGTGGGAAAACTGAGGCTCCTAAGGCAGTGGTTCTTTTGTTTTGTTTTTAAAACTCTTTTGAGAATTTCATAGGTGAGTACTGCATTTACACCATTGCCACTGGTTTTTGTTTTTAAGTTAGGAACTCTGTTGTTCTTTGCCGCAGCTTCGGACGAGGAAACACGATCTACCAAACTCAACAAACACACATGGAGTTTATTGGGAAAGGGAGTGAAGGGAGGGGTAGGTGTTAAGCCATCCGGAGAGGAAATGGAAATAGAGAACAGGCAGAGGCACTGGCTTATAAAGGGAAAGGGAGCGGTTTAGAACGAGGCTCAGCAGTTGGGGCTGAGTTGAAACTGGAGTCATGGAGCTGCCGTTGGTGTTGATATCCTGGCTTCTCCCTCTCCCCGGACCCTGGACAACCTGGCCCTGCTCCTGCTCCCGGCTCATCTTTTCTGGCCCCAGTAGTTTCTCTTCAGCACCCAACTGTCACTCCATGCCAGCCCTCTCCTGGGCCTGGGCCTTCTCCTTAGGGAAACTTTCCTGGTCGTGGGGCCTCTCTAATCCTCTGGCTCTTCTCCGGGCAACCTTCCCTTGCCCTGCGATCTATCTTTGACAGGTGATTGTTCCTCACAGACAGCTCAACGGCTGTCAAAGGTTGCATGGCTGCACAAGGACTCTGCATGCAGAAACCATGTGGAGCTGGGCCAGTTGTTGTTCTTTGCTGCAGCTTCGGGCGATGAAACACGATCCACCAAACTCAGCAAACCCACATGGAGTTTATTGGGAAAGGGAGCAAAGGAGGGGTAGGTGTTAACCAATCGGGAACATAAATGGAAGGAGGGAGAAAGAACAGTCTGGAGGTGCTTGCTTATCTAGGGAATGGGTGTGGTTTAGGATGAGTCTCAGCAGTCAGAGCCCTTGAAACTGGAGACATGGAGCTGCCATTGGTCCAACTGCTTGCGGGCCCCAGTTCCATATGGTTTCTGCATGCAGAATCCTTATGCAGCCACCTAATGCATGCATGACACAGCCATACAACCTTCGACAGCTTTTGAGCTGTCAGTGAGGATTAATCACCTGTCAAAGATGGATCCCTGGTTGAGGGAAGGTCGCCATCACCTGTCAAAGATGGATCCCTGATTGAGGGAAAAGAGCCATCCTGGGGAGGGGAGAGAGCCTGAGGATTAGCGCTACCAGGAAAGGTTCCCTAAGGAAAAGGCCCAGGCCCAGGAGGAGGGCTGGCAAGGAGTGACAGGCGGGTGCTGAGGAGAAACCACTGGGGCGAGAGAAGGAGATGAGTGGGGAGCAGAGCCAGGTTGCCCAGGGTCCGGGGAGAGGGAGAAGCCAGGATATCCAGAAGCCTGGCCTGTAACTCACAGAGATCTACTTGCGTCAGCCTCCCAAGAGTTGAGGCTAAAAGCATGACTGACATTCCAGGGAAATTGAAGCAGTGCTAGCTTGGTGTGTGTGTGTGTGCGTGCGTGCGCGCGCGCGAGCGCGTGCGTGCATGGGTGTGTTAAGTGTAGTGCCCGAGAAGGCCAGAAAAGGGTGCCTGATTCTCTGGAACTGGAGTTCCAGGTAGTTCAAAGTCACCATGTGCATGCTGGAAAGTGAGATTGAAGTTAGAGACTCCTGCATGCTAGGAGACCTTTGAACTTGTTACCTTGTCTCAGCCTCACCAGCAATTGGAATTAAAGTCCTGTGCCATCAGGCTTTGCTTTCAGATTTTGTTTTTGTTCATTTGTAGTTATTGTGTATGTGTGTACATGTAGACACACCATGTCATGAGTTTGCAGCAGAGGAAAACTTCCAGAGTGGAGAGTTAATTCTCTCCTTCCACTGCATGGGTTCTGGGATTGTACTGGGTGTTCTGTGTGTCACCTTGACATGCATTATTAAAGAGACTCATCAGAGGAAGGAGACTCAATTGAGGAAATGCTTAGATGAGGCATTTTCTCATTTAATGATCAATTCGGGAGGACCCAGGCCATGGTGGATGGTGCCATCCCTGGGCTGTTGGTCTTGGGTTTTTTAAGAAGGTGAGCTGAGCAAGCCATGGGAAGCGAGCCAGTAAACAGCTCCCCTACATGGCCTCTGCATTAGCTCCTGCCTCCAGGATCCTGCCCTGTTTGAGTTCCTGTCCTGACTTCTTCAGTGATGAACAGCAATGTGGAAGTGTAAGCCAAATAAACCCCTTCCTCCTCAACTTGCTTTTTGGTCCTAGTGTTTCATCACAGCAATAGAAACCCCAACTAAGACAGGGATCAAAGCCAGGCGTTGGTGGCACACACCTTTAATCCCAGCACTTGGGAGGCAGAGGCAGGCCGATCTCTGTGAGTTCGAGGCCAGCCTGGTCTACAGAGTGAGTGCAGCTACACAGAGAAACCCTGTCTCGAAAAACAAAAAAAAACAAAACAAAACAAAAAACAAAACAAAACAAAAAGGATAGGGATCAAACTCAGGTTGTCAGGGTTGGCAGTAAGAACCTTGACCCAATGAGCCATCTATCTCATCAGTTGTTTTAGGGTTTTTTTTTTTTTTTTTTTTTTTTTTTTGAGACAGGGTCTTGTTGTGTGGCTCTGGTAGGCCTGGCACTATTGATTTCCAACTTGAAGTAATCCTCCTGCCTCAGTCCTCCTGAGTGCTGGTATTACAATTGTACACTACTAACCTCAACTAAATTATTTTTCTTAATTTCTTTTTAAAGGTAAGGTCTCATGTAGCCCAGGCTGACCTTACTATGTAGTCAAGGTTGATCTTGAACTTCTCATTTTCTTGCCTCCACTACTGAGTGTTAGGATTATAGGCGTGTACCACTATGCCCAATTTATTTGATATGGGAATTGAACTCAGGGCTTCTTGGATGCTAGGCAAGCACTCTGTAGACTGAGCCACATCCTCATTTTAGCACCAAGAATTTCTTTGCAATCTCACCATTTCCACATCCATGGGAAGGATTCCCACACAATGCTCTGGCAGCTTCTTCCAGCTAAAATGAGGAGATTCCCCCAATTCAGTTACATTCCACAAAAGCGTCCCACCAAATGCTTAAATGGGAGACCAGGCTGACATCTCTTGTTCACTAAACTGTCCTGTCACGGTGCTTTGTATCTCCAACCCTCCCCTCTCCTGGTGTCTGTGTACATGTTCCACAGCTAGAAATGGGAATCCTACTGCATTATGCCAAAAAGCATCTGGAGAACATGGTAAGGAGTCTTAGACACCTACCCACCAGATACACACAGACACTGGTGTGTCACCAAAGCTGTTCAGACCAAACCTGGTAATTCTGTGCCCAATGCTGTCTCTGGTGGGTTGGCCAAAGTTGGCTCTGTCTTGTTGTTCTTGTTGGTCTCAGTTCCAATCCACTCCCAGTTGGGTACTTCCTTGTGCCAGCTTCCACTCCCCACGTCTGCCTCTTGGGGCTTTTGTTTACTTCTTAAGTAATTTCCTGGGTTTTAATTTTTTTATGTATATGAGTGTTTTGTATGCATGTCTGTGTATCATCTGCATGCCTGGTGTTGGTGGAGGTCAGAAGAGGGAATCAGATCCTCTGGAACTGGAGTTTTGGGTGTTTAAGTTAGCATGTGAGTGCTGGGCATTGACCCAGGTCTCCTGCAAGAGCAGCCACATGTTCATAACTGCTGCTCCATGTCCAGCTCCACGTTGTTTCATTTACGAGATCAGGCTAGTCTGAAACTCACTATGTAGTCTGGGTTGCCTCAAATCCACGATCTTAGTACTTTCATCTCCCTAGTACTGGGATTCAAGGTCCTTGCCATCCCACCCAGCCCTTACTCCAGCTGGCTGACACCCAGAACTGAAGGATGGCATGTGGGGCCTGCATTCCCAGTGCCTAGAACAGATCTCCAGGAAAGCCTGTTGAAGAAACTCAAGTGTTGGTCTGGAGAGATGGCTCAGCAGGTAAAACATGGACAACATGAAGACCAGAGCTCAGGTGTGCTTGCATACATGCCTGTAACCCTATCATTGAGGTGGGGCAGAAAGTCAGGACTGCTGGGGCTTTGCTGGGGGCCAACTACACACACACAAAAAAAAGCAAGCACAGGTTCCCTGTCTCAAAGGAAGGAGGCAGAGAGTGATGGAGGACTCCTTTGACTTCTGCATGTACCTGCACAGCTGTACACACGTGCATATGCCACACAGGCATGCACACGACACGTTCCGAGAAAAAGGGAACACCTGTCATTCGTTAACAGGCATTTCCTAAGCACCTGCTATAATGCCAGGCACTTGAGAGGAGGGGATGGCGAAGTGGCTGTAGGCAGCCTCCAGTGCATGCTGCTCCTCAGTTAAGTATAAGGACCATAGTGTCTCCCACACTGCCTGCTAAGAGGCCAGTACTTGTCATAGAACCCCCTGATTAGTATGACAAAGGAGACAGGGACAAATGCTGTAGTAGACAGGATTAATTAATTTATTAATGGCCAGCTACATTCATCCACACATGCATTTCTAAGATTTATATCCAGACAGCATATGGTATTTATTTACAGGAAATGGACAGATTAGGATACCAAAATCAAACCTTGGCTGCGGTAAGACTGTTTTGTTCCACATTAAATTAAATATAATAGTCTTACCTCCTCCTTTCGACGTACACTGTGAAAGCGCACCCTTCCTCCTTGTAAGGAATATGAAATTGCATTGGTAACTGCTCAGGAGCAGCAAGGACACTGGAAACCTGAGAGAGGAGTGTAACGCTTGGACACTAGCAGGGCTCCTCGGGTAACACAGGTTAGTCAGTGGTCATCAACAGTGAGATTTAGGTGTCTCTGGCTTACTGTTTGTTTCTGCTTTTGTATTTATGTCTTTTGTTTTCTTGCTTTTAAGAGGAAGAAAATCTTTGGCCCTTTTGTGTTTTAGATTACAAAATTATACATGTGTGTCTGTAAGACATGCATAAGCTGTTCAGCCAGCACTTCTTGGCACTTCTGGTCACCCTGCCCCCACTTTTGTGCTACTGCTAGCACAGGGGCAGGAACTGAGCAAGGCCAGAGGGCGCACTGAAGTGGCCGGAAAAATAAACACATGATTTAAAATACCAATAGCTAAGCTTGTCAGGACAGGGTGACAATGGGGAGGGGGGCCCATTATGCTTATGTTTACAAATACCAAACAGACTTGGTACAGAATTGCCTTGCAGTCCATCAGGCGCTTTCAAGAAAGGCACTCCCATTGAGGGATGGCATTTGGGTACAAAGCACCCATCACTTGAGACCCCTGAGTCTGTCACCAAAATGACCTAGTCTTCTATGGAACTGAGAGCAAGTCTCCTCTCTGGCTGGGTGGGATTAGAAGGTAACCCCACTGATGTCTAGGGTGTGTGTCTCCTAGCTGCCTGTGAGGCTGCCTGTGTTAGTTCTGCTCCTCTCTCAGTGACCAGGGTCCCACTCCCCTTGCCACCAGCTGCCAAATAAGCCACACTCTCCAGCTGGTCTCCAGCTATGGAGCCTGTGACTACCAAGCCCCTCAACACCCTCTGTTAACACACTCCTGTCATTTTGTTGCTTAATGGAACTGGCAGGCAATGAGACTCAGCATCACTGCCTTCACCAGGGGCCTGGTCTTCTGGGAGTAGGGGAAGTGCTTACTTAGGGGCATCTCTACGTAGGAAACCACTGAGGGGAAGCAACATCCTCACACATTCACCCTAAGACTTCTCAAATTAGTCTTCTCTAATGCCCCCACTTACCAAGGGGCTTCCGTCTTTAAGGCACTGGGTTTTGAAGACGTGTGAGGATGGTGACATTGAAGAGGTGGTATTCTGCTTCTTGGAAATGTGACTCCCAAAGGGATGATGGCTGTCACCCACAGCAGAACCTTAATCCCCAGGCCCAAGAATCCCATTAGTGCATTACATGTGTTAGCTTCAGTTGTCACCTCCACTGGCTCTGAAGATTCTTCCCACAAGTTGATGTCTGTCCTGCCTGGGTGGAGTCAGGCACCTTCCAGTCCCAGGTATTTATAGTTTGTCCCCGAGGAAGTCTTGTCACCAACAAGTGTGAAGCTACAACCCCAGTAGTCCAGGAATTCGCCAGTATTTTAATGCCTTCATCCAGGATGATTCAAAAGATTTCAGGGAACTGTGCCCAATATTCCCGGAGCCAGGGCATCTCTGGATGTAGCAGGGTCGTGCTTCACATAGTGGAAACTACTGTTGTTCTAGGGAGACAGATGGTAAACCTTCTGGAAGGAAAACTGAGTTCTATAAGAGCAATTTTCTGCCAATCCTACAATCAGGAGCAACACCTATTCATTTGGTTTGTATTACAAGAGTCCGTTTTCCTTCCCTGTGGCTCAGGGGGGTTACTTTTTGGAATTGACGGTGAGGCCAAACAAGTTGATAATGTCTATCATGGCTTGTTTCACGTGCTTCCCAAATCGGTGTGAGTCCTAAAGGAGACAGAGGGCAACACATCAGCAACCATGCAAATCCCAGCAACAGAGGCTGAGGCAGGAGCATGGACTGATAAGGGCTGATGCTGCCAATGCCATCAAACAGCCTTCTGGGTGGGTGAGTTGGGGGGGGGGCTCCCTCAGGCAGCACCAAGTTCATGTGAGGCCAGAACTTGATCACAGAGTTGTTCAGAATAGAGAGAATGACAGAAATACATTCACATACACAAAGACTTAAGACCACGACTACCAGCAAAGGTAGGTAAACCAGAATAAACATATGCCTTTCAAATGAGTGAGACTCATCTATGTGAAAATAGCTAATGCCAGGTGTTGGTGGCACATGCCTTTAATCCCAGCCCTCGGGAGGAGGGACAGGCTCCAAAGCTACACAGAAATCCTGTCTGGAAAAACAAACACCCAAAAACAACAAAAAAGAAAACGATATGCTTCCTCCAAAAAAACTTTTCTGGGAAAAAAGGAGTCCCTAATATACTCACTGTCTCAGGGCTGAAGAACTTAGAAGAAATATGGAAGTGGATGAAATTTTCTCCCACAATAATGTACGAAACACCATAGCCATCATCAGCAACCTGCAGAGAGAGAGGGCAGTTTCAGCACTGGGAAATGAGATCACGAGTATGGGACTTGCTGTTCTCAACAGGAAACTGAACAGCAGTGGGGCCTCACTCTGGAATCCCACCACCAGAGAGGCTGAAGCAGTGGGTTCAAGGCCAGCCTGGACTATGCAGTGAGTGGGTTTGAGGCCAGTCTGAGGACAACGGGATGGGCTTGAAGTTAGTGGGTGGTCCTGGCTGCACTTACCGGCCCAAAGCCACCTCCACAGGACACATAGTCGGGGTGTTTCTCAAAGTCAAACAGTTCCACCTGTTGCTGAGGAGTCTGGCTTGTGGATAACCTCCATGGCTCAGATAAAACCTGTGACAAAGCAAAAAAATGTTCAAGTGACACTTCCCCACCCCCTTCTCCTAGTGAACATTGTCAACTTGACACAGCTGAGAACCACCTGGGGGTGAGCATAAAACATTCCTGAGTAATTGTGTCAGGCTGGCTTGTGGACATGTCTGTGGAAGACTGTCCTAAGTGATGCAGGAAGGTCCAGCTCAGTAGGTGGTTCTGTTCCCTGGACAGGTGTCCTAAGCTGTATAAGGAATCTAGTGGAAAGGGCACTTCTTGTTCTTGCAGAGGACCCAGGTTTGATTGCTAGAATCCACATGGTGGTTCACAACTGTCTAGAATTCTAGTTCCAGGACATCTCTCTGAGCACTGCACACACCTGATACACATACATATATACACACAGGCAAAACACTCATGTGTAAATGTATTTTTAAGAATGCTGAGCAGATTTGAGCCTGCGCAAAAGCCAGCAAGGAGCATGTCTCCATTGTTTCCAGGAGTGTGCCTCCATCGGTCCTGCTTAGGTCCTACCCTGACATCCCTCAGTGATGGACTGTGACTAGGAAGTGTAAGCCAGATTAAACCCACCCCTCCCCAAGTGGCAAGTGTTTTATGGCAGCAGAAGAAAGCAATATAGAACACCCTAGATCTACAAAGATGACACCAGCTAACTATCTCAGCAACAGAGGAGAGGCTACCTTAAATGCCCTCCCCTGATTATCAGATTGATGACTGACTTATATGCTTTCATCCAGCAGCTGGTGGAAGTAGAAGGAGACACCCATTAACTAATCACCGACAATGTGATCCACCGACAAGGAGGGACGCCAATAAGGCATCCGCTAAGTCTTATAAAATATATTTATGATCATTGAGACTGAGCTCACAGATGAGGAATCCTAGTCATTGGCCAAGCAGCATTGTACCTAATACAAGTTTCTGTGTATTCATTTGGGCCTAACTCAGGCAGGCGGCTGGTGTAAAGCTTACACGTGGCGGTGAGGCTCAGGCATTTGACAGAAAGATTTATCGTAACAGCCCACCTCTAGATTTTCAAGGATTTCTAAACTGGTTATTATATTCAGCCACTGTTAAAAGCCTGTAACCCCAGCATTCAGGAGGCCGAGGCAGGAAGATTGCTGTTGAAGGCTAGCCCAGGCTACAAAGTGAGATCCTGTCTCAACAAAACAGAAAAGCCAGGCTGAACACTAATAATCCTAGCACGTAGGAGGTAGAGACAAAAAGGTCTGCAGTGCAAAGCTATCCTGGCTACAGAGTGTGTTTGAGGCCATAAAGACCTTGTCTCAAAACACGAAAACCAACAATCCCAACAACAATAACAACAGTTTTAGAAATTTGGGTGTAGTAGTACATGACTTTAGTCCTGGCTTCCTTAGGATGTTGAGGCAGGAGAATCATTTGAACACAGCAATTTAAGAACATCTTGACCCAATATGGTGAGCCTATCTCAAACTGAAAAAAAAAATTAACTCACAAATAATAAGAACAAAGATGAAGCCAGGTGTGGTAGTATATACCTTTAATCCCAGCACTTGGGAGGCAGAGGCAGGTGGGTCTCTGTGAGTTCAGGGGCAGCCTAGTCCATATATTGAGTTCCAGGATAGCCAGGACTACATAGTGAGACCCTGCCTCAACCAAAAAAACAGACGGCTGGAGAGAGGGCTCAGAGGTTAAGAGCACTGGCTGCTTTTCCGGAGGACCTCTATTCTCAGCACCCACATGGCAGCTCATGACCACCTGTGACTCCAGGTATAGGGGACCTGATGCCCTCCATAAACACCAAGCATGGTACACAGACATACACCAGGGTAAAACAGCCACACATACAAAAAAATAATAGAACAAAAGTGAGGGGCTGGGGAATGACTCGGTGGGTAAGAGTGCTTTCTGTGTAAGTGTGAAGACCCAAGTTTGGATCCCTAGCATCCATGGGGAAACAACGATAACAACAACAAATGTAAGTGTGAAGACCCAAGTTTGGATCCCTAGCATCCATGGGGAAACAAACAACGATAACAACAACAACAAAAAAAAAACAAAAAAACAGAGCAGTATGCATGCCAGCAACCCCAGCGCTGGGTGTGGGTGGAAACAGTACTACAGGGTATTTCTGGCTGCCAGTCTTGCCAAAAAAAAACCCTGGTGAGCTGACCCTGGAGGTTCAGTTCTCAAGGGAATACGGTAGAGGGGTGGTGGCTTCCACTTATGTGCATACACTTGCTCACACAAGTGCACACAGATGTACATACACAGAGAACGAAGTTGACAGATACTCAGTGCTCATCTCTTCCTAATTCTTGCCATATTTTACTAGCACTCAGCTCTTGCTGCTGTCAGGAGGTTCCAATCAGCCTTTCCAAGCTGCTGAGGAAGTCCAGTACCAAAGTTGCAGCATGCATCGCTACATTCCCATTGCCTTTCCACCCACGCTGATGTGCAAGGCTGGAGCAAGTCTAAGATCTGTTCCCAACAAGCAGGCTGACCATTCAACCTGGCAGGCAGCTTACCTCCTTCAGGAAAGGGGAGTCAACTGCGAGATACTTGGATACCACATAGAGGCAGAAGAGGTGGCGGTCGATGCCGGCGCCCGTCATGGCGAGGCGGTACATGTGCTGGTGCTTCTCACAAGCTATCTTGAACAGCTTGAGCCTCTGCTCCACCTGAGGGTCAACAGGACAAGGACATGCTTGTGTGCTAGGCCACTTTCTCTTCAGTGGTCTGCAAAAGGCTGTGGGATGTGTCCTGGTTCTAGACCAAGATGTCTTGACAGAGCCCACCAGCCCACCGTCCCTTCCCAGATTCTTGCCTCAAAAGGGCTGCCAGGGTAGGCTGGTTGTTGGAGAGGCACTCTGTGTGGAGGAGTCTGCTATGTATACACCCTGTGAGACAGCCAGCTGTGGACCTCACACTGCTAAGAGTTCCTGTCAAACCTGGTGTTCTATTCCAGATGTCCCTCAAGTTTATTTTGTCAAAGACGAGTACTAACTCCCCCCTGGCAATTCTGTTAAAATGGGGCCTTGAAGGCTTCAATATGACCCGGGTGGGATGCTTCAGGAAATGAAGACAAGTGCTTGCTGCACAAGAGCATGAGGACCAAGCTCATTCCTCAGGGCTTGCTGACCACCAAAATAGCAAGCTCTAGATTCAGTGAGAGACCGAATCTCAAAATACAAGGTGGAAAATAAGGAAAAAGACACTAACATTGACTTCTAGCCTCCGTTCACACTCACATACACATGCACACACACACACACACACACACACACACACACACACAATCTCTCACACACATCTCACACACACACACAATCTCTCACACACATTCTCTCTCTCTCTCTCTCTCACACACACACACACACACACACACAC